GTTTGCCAGGACTGCCCGGTGCCCCCGGAAGGGATGGACTCCCAGGACTCAGAGGCGGAAGGGGTGAAAGAGGAGAAGATGGTCTTCCCGGTCCTCCTGGTCTGAGGGGTAATATTAAAGAGTGTTTCAAAAGATTATTATGAATCAAATGCTTATCGATTAAACTTCTTGGAAGGTGTTCCCGGGACTATGGGTGACAAAGGAGTGAAGGGTCCGATGGGATTCCCGGGAGATTCCGGGTTTAAAGGTGATTCCGGTCTACCCGGACTACCAGGACTTCCCGGTATGTTATCTGCTATTCGTATTGGATTTTATTCAAAAAATAACCAAATTGCTTAAATACAGGAATGAAAGGTGACCCTGGTCTTCCAGGAATAGGACGTCCGGGGCAGCCAGGTCTGCCAGGTTTTTCGGGTCCAAAAGGTGAACTGGGAATGCCTGGACCTCCAGGGCTTCCGGGAGACAGTGGGAGACCAGGAATTTTGGGAATGAAAGGAGACATCGGTTTTCCTGGTCTACCCGGTCTTCCCGGCCATAAGGGCGACAAAGGTTGGAGTCATTGTATTACAGTAGTAACCCATTCAATATTACCTAGTTTCTATTGATTCAGTATTCAACAAATTATTCAATTAATCAAACCTCAAATCATTTGTTCACTTCAGGCGACCCCGCGAGAGAAGGATATCCGGGACCAGAAGGCGCGCCGGGACTCCCAGGGCTTGACGGACCTAAAGGTTAACACAATTTGCTTATTATTCACAAAATCATATGAAATATGTTTTAATATTAAGTAATTTGTTAATAAAACAACTTTTATTGTAAAATTCAGGTGATATTGGATATAAAGGAGATATAGGACTTCCAGGAATTCCAGGATTACCTGGAATTAAAGGAGAGGGCGGTATTCCTGGATTGCCAGGACTGCCCGGAATGGACGGCCCACCGGGTAATCCTGGGTTTCTGGGCAAAGATGGACTGCCAGGATTCCCGGGAACTAAAGGTTTATCACATAATATCATAATATTCTATGAAATACATACAATTTCTCAAACAATACAATATTATAGGATTAAAGGGTGATAGTGTTCCCGGACTCCCGGGACCGCCAGGATATGATGGCTCACCCGGTTTGCCCGGACTTAAAGGTGACCGAGGAATAAATGGTTTTCCCGGAATTGAGGGAAAGCCTGGTGTAATGGGTTTTAAAGGTATGGTTAAGAAATCAGTATATACTATACTACTACAGTAATGCGGTTAATATTATAATTATAATCTTGTTTATATTGATAGGCGACCCTGGCCTT